AGAAACGCCCTTCACTCGTCAATCGGAAAGGTGTTCTTTTTCTCCCTGACAATGCATGTCCACATGTGGCACATTTGACGCAACACAAGATCATGGAGTTGGGTTGGGAAGTTCTCCCCCACCCACCATATTCTCCAGATATGGCACCATCAGATTACCATCATTTTTGTTCGCTACAACCCCATAATGGGAGAACGTATGCAAATATGGAAGGTGTTAAAGAAGATATCGACATGTTTTTTGCTTCAAAGCCAAGTGATTTCTTTAATCAGGGCGTTAACAACCTGATTGTGAGATAGAAAAGTATCATCAATAAGAATGGAAACTATTTTATTTAATAAATCTTTTGTTTTGATGTATAAGTTCTTCAGGTTTTTTCATCTAAAAAAGTGACATTAATTTCTTGACGACCTGATACATTATGCCAAGAATCAGGCACATAATGTAGAAGGAACAACAAAGTATGTTTGCAAAAGTACTAGATAAAGAATCATTATAATAGAAGATTTTTATATGAAATGTATAAATACTGTTGATTTTAAAATGTTTTCAATTGTAGTTAGCTCTACATAGCATAGGGGATAGATAAGCCAACAAATTCCAACAACTAAATTCGTTGTTGCTGTATTTTGAAATAATTCTTATTTCTTGGATTTTAAACTTCTTGCTGCTCTATCTAGAAATTTATCAAGACATGAAGAAAAGCTATTACACCAATAAGATTTGCCTATAGATACAAGTAAGAAAACACTGAAATATCAGACTATTCTATTTTTTTCCCTCCTTTATTATTTTCTTCAACTGGTTTCATGACTTTAAAGGTCACTCTTCAGGATATAATTTTACTGAGAATTTTTTTCTTCTTCCATTCATCCTGTATGCTTAAATCAGAACAACAATAACCATGAAGCTTAACATTTATTTCTGTTATTGTTTACCTTGTCAGCTCTAATTAGTGCTAACACTGTATATTGTTTGTAGTATTGTCTCAGCTGTTATCGCTATATTTAAAGTAGTTATCTATCATGATATATTTATTGTGAAGAACATGAAAGGTCTGGCATCTCAAGCCTTTTCTGATACAATTATAAAAAGTAAACCTAATAGTTGTGATGCTTTTTGTTTCAGCTGCTGGAAATGCTTTTTGTGAGGCTTCATCTTTACACCTAAAGCTCGGAAGTCGGCATGATGCTGCTACATGCTATGTAGATGCTGGAAACTGCTATAAGAAAACTGATCCTCAAGGTTAGTTTTCAAACCTTTCAAAAGACAAATATGGCTATGTTTATAAAATTTCCAATGAAAAATTATGGTATTCAGAAGTTGATATTTTAGTTGTTATTGCTAACTTTATGACTACAAAGAATTGTTCACAATCTATGGTAATAATACAAAGATACAGAGTGCTTAGGTCTTAAGTTCTTTTATTTTCCACCACTAATGATATTCTGTACGATGGACTTGATGATGAAATGTTTCTCTATAGCGCAGTTTCTACTACAGGAAAGTTTTGTGTAATACATGGATCTGTGTTGTTCCAAAGTCCAACAATGCATGGGCAATGACTTTTCAGGGCTAATTTGCACAATCCAAAAGCACAGAAGTCCATAGGAATTTGCATTTGAACATGCATTTGTTGGTATTCTTTGTAGTGGTGTCAGCAAATTAGCATGAGTAGCTTTTGTATACCTTAAATGCAGGTGGCATGTCTTGTTGATAGTTCCAAAGGTAATGAGGACACTCAGAGCCAAAGTGTTTCACTATGCACATTCTTACAATGGATTATGAAAAATCTTCAATATAGACTCATTTATGTATTATAGTCGAATATATATATATATATATATATATATATGATCTGTCTCTTATCCACCAGGTCCCCAATGGGGACAGCAGTAAGTTAAGTTTACATACTTACGACACTAAAATCCTGGATTCAATTCCCTTGGGTGGACACAGCAGATAGCCTAATATGGCTTTGCTCTAAAACAAGACCAAATAATCAAACTTATCTGCCAAATATTCAATGCAGAAACTAATGTACATGTGTATTTCTTAGATAAAACACACTTGCTGCTTCTTTTCTTGCAGTGATATGCAAATTTCACAAAAATTTTGATTTTTGTAATGTTTTATATTTGATAAAAAAGTAGACAAAAATAGAGAAAAGAGAAATTGTCTGTCAGTATTATTAATACAGATTCTATGCCACAATTTAAAAATATTTGAATGAATGATTGATAGATTTAAAACTTTTTTTTCATGAAATTAGCTCCTTCAGTTCTGTTAGAAAGTACCTAGATTTGTCCTTGATTTCCCTGCCAAAAGCGTGTATATAAACACTCCTTGGAATATGTAACATGACCTTATCAGTATGTGCAAGGTGCTTAAACTTAGAAAAACTTTCCATTTTGTATTCAGTCATTGTTTATCTGCTGTGATTGATACCATTCAAATACTTTAGGAAAAATAATTGAACTTTATTGTACTAAATAAGAATAAAATAATCCCTCCCTCTATGAGTCGGGATACTTTTGGAAAGGAAATTTATGTGTATTTTGTTCAAGTGATAAAATCAAGACAGTCACAATCTCAAATGTGTCTTAAAAAACTTTCCCCTCTTGAAGTGTTATTGTTTCATGAGGTGTGTTCCCTAATGAAACTTTCAGTTATTTCAATGTATTAAGTAGCAGAATTATATCTGAAAGATTAACTTTTGTCAAGCATACTTTGTATGATGGATCAATATTTTTCACAGAGGCAGTTAATTGTCTCCTCAAGGCTATAGAGATCTACACAGATATGGTAAGTAGAGTGTTTTAATTTTTAATCAAGGTAAAAAATCAGTACTATCTGTATGTTATATACAGAGGTTATGTGGTATATATTATAACACAGTCAATTTGTTCTGTGCATTTAGTTACAAAACTTTTTTTTTCAGTTGCTATAATTTAACCATTATTTAGGTATAGTTATCAAGATAATAACAAACAAATGTATATGTATGACCATAGGAAGCAGAGTATCATTTTTGGCATACATGGTTGAAAGTGCTGGAAGGGTTGTTGATGTTATGACTCAATGATATAACATTAAAGGACAAAAGAGACTTTTGGCCTATCTAGGTCATCCTATCCACTAAATTAGATTAAACACCAAAAAAAACTCGAAGCCAGTCCTTATCATTTAAATATTTATAAAGCTTCCTCTTGAACTCTTAAATTTACTTCTACCACATCTGAAGGTAAACTGTTACAAAGGCCAACCTCCCTGTTAGAAAAATAAAGTTTAGGTGAAGATTACTTCCATCCTGCCAGAACTTATATTTATGCCCCTTTGTCTTACCGTTCTCACCATTAAATGTAAAAAAAGATGATGCATCAACACCATTAATTTCTTTAATGGTTTTAAATGCCTTGATCAGATTCCCTTTAACTCTTCTTTCAAGAGAAAACAGTTCAAAGATCTTAACCTATCCTCGTATGACATCATTTTTATCCCAGGTATCATCCTAGTAGCTCTTCTCTGACCCATTTTCAACAATTCAATGTCCTTTCTAACATACAGAGCCCAAGACTGAACACAGTACTCGAAATGTGACCTAACCAATGACATATACAATGAAATATAACCTACTTAGGCTTGTATTCAATGTTTCTTTACATACAATCTAAAATCCTATTTGCCCTGCCATTGCTTGAATGGCTTAAAAGACTGATGAACCAGAACATCGAGATATTTTTCTTCCATAACACTAAGGTTATTCCCATCAAAATTATACTCGTACTTCAACTTGTGATATCTCACCTGCATTACCTTGCATTTATTATAATTAAAGATCATCTGCCATTTATTCGCCTAAATCATCAAATGATCCAAATCCTTTTGTAAAGCATTGGTTGACAGGAACCAGTAATACCCAAAACTTTAAAGTTATCAGCGAATTTAAATAATCTCTTGATCATTCCGTCATCTATGTCATTGATGTAAATCAAAAACAGCAAAGGCCCTAACACTGAGCTCTGAGGTATCTTACTCATGACATTAAGCTAGATTGACTGTTTACACTCTACTTAAATGTCAAATAAAAAAAATTTATTTAAAATTTATCTCTGTAGTATCTTGTCAAGTGCTTTCTCAAAATCCAGATACACCAAATCCACACCCATACCCTCATTTATTTAAGAAGCAGCATCTTTGGAGAAAGTCAAAAGATTAGTAAAGTAAGATTTTCCACAAGTGAAACCATGCTAACTATCCAACAAAATTTTAGAATTTGTTAAATGGCTTTGCAAAGCACACTTTATCAGACTTTCAATAACTTTTCCCACCACTGATATAAGAATATTAAGTCCTATAATTCCTGGATAAATTTTATCACCTCCCTTGAAAAGAGGAGCAATATTAGCCATCTTTCAATCTTCTGGTACCTGCCCATTATTCAAGGACTTAGAAAATAATAGCAAGTGGCTCACATATCCATTTCTTAACCACTTTCAAAATTTTTGGTAAATATCATCTTGTTCATGAGCTTTATCATTCTTACTTCCAAGTTCTTACCAATCTCATAATTAATGTGATAATCTTATTTAATCTTTTTTCCATCTAGCAACTGTTCATGATAAGGAACATCCTAACATTTTGCTTATGCTTAATGTATTTCAAGAAAGCCTTACTGTTAATTTTTACATTTTCAGCCCAGCTTTTTCATATACTTTTTTTTTTTTTATTTCCTAATTTCCCATTTGACCAACTCTCTTGATCTTCTATAATCCTCCAAATCTCCCACCACTGCAATCAATTTAAACTTCTTATATTTATAATGCTTTTCTTTAGTTTTATCCTTTATACCCTTTGTGAGCCAGCCTGGTTTTTTACTTCCAGCTACATGTTTTTGTCTAAAAGGAACATGGCTATTTTAAATATTTAAGAATTTTTAAAAAAAAAATTTCCACATCTGATCAGTATTTCCAACTAAATCGGTTGTCCAATTCACTTGAGATAATTCTTGTTTTATCTTTTCAACATTTGTTTTTTGAAATTTGGAATCAAAATCTATTATTCTTTACCTTTATATGCATTGAGTCTAATTGAGCAGTGATTACTTGCACCCAGATATTTTCTAATCTACTCTATCAACCATTTCTTTATTAGAAGTTACCAAAAAAATTTTAAAATAGCATTATTACTAGTAAGTTTCATAACCAATTGTTGGTGAAAACCATTATGAATAATTTCTAAAAACATGTTTCCATCATCATTTGACTCTAACATTTCATAATCTATATGCGTATAATTAGAATCTCCCATATTTATACTCATTAACAATTGAATTTTTTATCTCACTGTAGAGTTTCTCATTTTTTCATCAGTTTCATGTAGTGATCTGTAACAATTTCCAACTAAAAACCATCTTCCCTTATAACCATTAACAGAAACCCAAATAGATTCAACCTTATTGCTATTAACTTTGATATCATAAGCTTGAACAAGTTTTGACTCATAATTTACTTATAAAGCCACTCCTCCCCCTTTTTTTTTTTTTTAAGTATTCTATTAAACAACCTATAACCTTTTATTGCAGAGAAATTTCTGTCATCAAAATTGTTTATATTTAATCAGGTTTCCTATAACATCAAAATCCTATGTTCCATCCAGTTTTCTAATGTCATCCTGTACTGTTAGCATTACAATAATAACAGTTTAATCTGTCATTAAAACTACCTTTGTACTTTGTTCCCACACTATACTTCTCTCTACATCTTATTTTATCTTTGTTATTCTGACCTAGTTTAAAGTTGCCCTTATGGTTGAGTTAATAGCCCTTGGAAACAAGCCAGCCTCTACTAAAATGTAAATCTTCCTTTCCAAAAGCTCCCTTTCCCACTGAACTGATCCAACAAATCCAACCAGCAAATCTGCTCTTCCTTGCATATTAACATAAGCCTAGTATTCAGTTATTCATAGTGACTTATGTATAACTAGCTGGAGTACCACCCGTCCCCTGGATGAAAGTTATGTAAAGTCATAATTAATGAATGGTTGTTGGTGCTACTATAGCGTGCAGTGTACAAAGATATCTTTCATCTACAATTGATAGCAATTGTAGGAGGTCTCTGGCGGACAAGGTGAATGTGAGTATAAAAGGGGGCATCTTGAAGTCAAACATTATTATCGAACCAGAGTTCAAGCCAAGAACATCTGCCTGTAGCTTTTACAATCTTGACATCTGAAAAGAAATTATTTATCTCCCTTAATAATGTTGCTTAAAGATTTCTATAGAAGAGTAATCTTGACATAAGACATCACCGGCACATTATAGTGTAAATAGCTTTGTAGACCACATACTATAGTAGCACCAGGCTATCTTAGGACATGGAAAGCTGCTTTCCTTATATGCAATTTTAAAAAATGCAATAACTCCCATAAAACTGCAAAAAACAAAACTAAAAATTTATATGTATCTTTGCATGAACTTAACAAACCTTTTGAGAAAATGATCATTTTACATCAAACAAAAGTAATTTCTGTTTACTCCTTGTAAACTCTCTTTATAGAAGCTTACATGCTTCTTATGTGTATATATGAACACTTACATAAATGTTTTGATTTTATTTAACAGGGCCGTTTTGCAATAGCTGCCAAACATCATGTAACAATTGCTGAAATATATGAAACCGAAATTGTTGATGTAGAAAAGGTATCATTATTTTTTGGGGGGGGTTAATCTTTGTTTTATTGAACTCCTTATTTGTGAATAACTGCATAAAATATTGTAAATTTGGTTAAAGGTGTAACCTCATTCGACATGCACGTACTATAAATGTTTGGAAACTATCTACTGGTAATCTTCCAGCTCTTACATGGATACATGTACTAGTATTAGTAGTATTTTAAGAAGAATAAAATTCAAGTTTATATACACTATTGTTTAACCCTCTGTTATATTGAATAGGTGCTACATTTGATTAAGATACAACAACAACAACAACTTAACAATTGTTAGATTTTCTCATCCAATCAGATCTGAAAGTTAAATATATTTACTTTCAAACTCTGTTATGCTAATGCTCTGTAATTCTTTTATTCTTTAATTCCTCTTAAATTTATTATGTATATTTATTGATGGAAAAACCATATTTTAGGTACTTTTTTCAGCTTTTTTAATGTCCCTACTTTGTACCAATTTAAACAAAGTAATAAAATGATAATCTCTTTGTAAGTGTGTTTATAATATAGGTTAATGTTTGTCAACCTATTTTATGAAACAAAATAATACACTTTATTGATAGATTCATAAGAGATTTTTTGTCTACAAACCAAACCAGAAATATGTGGGGTTATGATATAGATTCTTATAGATTTTTAAGTAGAATTATTATAAAATTTAATTGTTTAAGAGAAAGTACATTAAACTTGTGTTAATTAAATAACATATCTTAGACAGAGCACTTAGAAGAAAAAGAAGTAATAAAATACTTAGATCTAATGATCTTGAGCCTGTTTTGTTGTTGTTGTTTTAAGGCTATCTCACACTTCGAACAAGCAGCAGATTATTTTAAGGGAGAAGAATCAAACAGGTGAGATCTCCTGATTCTTGAGTGTCAGTTTTATTTTTTATGTTTGAAGTATTTATCATGCAACCAAAGTCATGTTTATGGAATAGTTTGTTTTTATGTTTAAAGTATTTTAAGTAATTTTAGTCATGTTTTGTAATAGTATTCACTAAATGTTGCAAAGGAAGATTGGTCTTCACCCATTTTGCACTCACTCACAAAATTAAAAATTTCCAGTAGCAGAGTTATCATCTCTCCTAAAGTTTAAAAAGACTATACATTACATTATAGCAAGAAAATACCTCTCGCCCAAACTGCGCATATAATGCTTTTCAGTAAGTACTTACTTTTTTTAAATTATCAATTCTTCTATAGTCCTTGAAGATTATCAGCCAAATTTATATTAATGATTTATTGGCAGTGCGTTATGCATTTACCATGTAAGTGGATGATTTCTGTTTTAGTAATTTGATGAATTCTTGAAGGAAATTGATTCATGAATGAAGTTCTTTGTTCTCTCAAACATTCCTCTCTTTCTCTTGATATTTACCGTTTTTTTTTTTACTTATTAGCTCATATGTTGACAGACAGAATATTCATGCTATTATATATTTTCTACTGGTAGTTCGGCCAACAAGTGTCTCCTTAATGTTGCAAAATATGCTGCTCAAATGGAACAGTACCAGAAAGCAATTGAAATTTATGAAGAGGTAAGACTTTTACAATAGCAAGTGTTTCATTTTCAGTTGATATCCTTTTATTTCCTAAGTGTCCTCTTACAACAAACTATTGGGTATAATTATCCTTCAGTTGCCAAAGTTTATATTTTTAAGTTTCTGTTTTCACTTTTACTTTTGAATTAAACTACTATCAGTAATCATTCTTGTGAAACAAAACAAGAAATTTTGTACTTTATTTTTTTATTGATATGTTTTTTTCTAATATGAATATTATAATCTATCATAACATTTGCAAATCTTGAAGAATGCTGAAAGATTACATCTTACTAGTATGAAATTGATTTTATTAAAAATATTTTCAACACTTGTTTATACCATTTGTAGACATATATATTTTTTCATTCTGTAAAAAAATATATAGATTGGTAATTTGTAGCTATTGTATTTAAAAATTGGAAATCAATACTAATTTTTCTTTTTCCTGTACAAGCAAGATCTTGATTTTATTCTGTCACAAATTACCTTATTTTATGTCTGTGGACTTACAACAATAGAAACCAAGTTTTGATACCTGTGGTAGGAAGAGCACAGATAGCCCATTATACAGCTTTTTTACTTAACTTCAAACAAACAAACACTTGTTTTAATTAGAAAAAGCTGGATATATATATTTCACACACACAAGTTTGAGCTGGTTTTGTTCTAGGTACAATAAAAAATATTTTTACTAACTAGGATTGTTAAGAAAGCAGTGAAAGAAATTTTAATTTTTTATGTTTTTATTGTAGAAAATGAACTTTCAATAAATATGTCATGTATTAAAAAGGAATTGGTTTTGTATTAAACAAAAATAAAAACCTGATTTGTTTTCTATTTATGCATACAGGTGGCAGCATCGTCCCTAGAGAGCCCATTGTTAAAATTCGGTGCAAAAGAATATTTATTTAGGGCAGCCTTATGTCACATGTGTATTGATGTGCTTAATGCACAGGTACTGAAATTTACTGTGTTTTTTTAATTATAACTATTTTCTCTTGATAATTTTTTTTATTTCGTATGGATTAAAATTGTGTGCATTTTACAAATTTTCTATTTTATGGTTTGTACATCATGATAAAAAAAAATGTATTAAGTTGTGTGTGTACCTTTCCTCTGTGTACTTGTCTCAACCATAAACTACTAAGACCTTGAAATAAGCAATTCAGATAAATTCTAAAAGATCAGCTGACCTGAGACAGATATAATGTGTAATCAAATAACTTTTAATGTCAGTTGACTCAACACACTTATAATGTATTATCAGATAACTTTTAATGTCAGTTGACCCAACACAGTTATAATGTATTATCAGATAACTAATAACTATGCTAGCTGATTTCGGACTGTAATAGTTTGTTGAGTAACTTGTAAAGAAAATTTGCTGTCCTAAGACAACTGCAGTGAATCAAGTAACTTCCCTCTTTCTTAGCATTCTGTTAACAAATACGAAGAAATGAACCCATCTTTTGTGGATTCAAGGGAGTGTAAACTGCTTAAAGTAAGTTATGTGATACCTTAATACTTCAAAAATCTTTATGAACTATATTTTACTAGTTTGTTTATGTATAATAATGATAAGTACAAAATTAACCTTACATATCATATCTTTGTAGAAAATGTGATCATTTCTTTTTGTTACGTAAGAACAAAACTCTGTTAAATGCTGACAGTAAGAATTAAACCTTATTGAAATGAATAAAAAAAAACACATCCTGTATTATTTACAGAAAGTATATCTGCTGTTACTTAAATTAAATACAAAACCTTGCACACTTATTATAAGTTGTGCAAAAAATTACCCACTGTAAACTTTGAATACTGTTCAAATTCACATGCTATGATTAGGGTGCTTGACTTGCAATCTGTGGGTCACGGGTTTGAATCCCCATCCCACTAAACATGCTCGCCCATTCAACCATGAAAGCATTATGATGCACTGTTTGTTTGTAAAAGAGTAGTCCAAGAGTTGGCGGTGGATAGTGATGACTAGCTGCCTTCCCTCTAGTCTTTCACTGCTAAATTACGGATGGCTAGCACAGATAGTCCTCGTGTAGCTTTGCGCAAAATGCAAAATCAAACAAACAAAAGCTGCTGTGATAGATTAGTAATTCATAATGGTAGATGAATTATAAATACATACATTTCTCAAACTTATTAAGGGATGTTTTTTTTCTATCAAGTCAGCTAGTAATGTGAATCTTATATAATATGGAAAATGTTAAACCTTTTTATGTCTAACAGTGATTTGTTACATATAAAATTGAAATGATAAGCGTACGACAATCATGTGAAAAAAATTAATAGAGACCCTGTATCCAAATTAATGCAAAGTCACAGTTATTGAATTTAGTTGATAAAAAACAATAATTGTAAACAGTATCCCAGGTTAATTATACATTTCAAATAATAAATAATGTAGTATAATTAGTTAAATAAGACTTAATTTTAAACTTCATGAGCCATTATTTGTAGATGATGTCACAATAGTTAACATTTTCAGGTAGATATAAGAAAAAAATAATAATTGAATATTAAGTTAGCTCGTATGTTTACTAGTAATGATCTTTCATGTATTACAGGTTCTCATAGAGAAGTTGGAGGAACAGGACGTTGATGGATTTACAGATGCTGTGAAGGAATATGACTCAATCTCCAGATTAGATCAGTGGTACACCAGTCTGCTGCTCAAAATAAAAAAAAACATCCAAGCAGCTCCAGATCTTTGTTAATAAGTGTTTATATTTTATAAAGAGAGAGAGAGAATTAAATAACCATGGTGCACCAGTATGATCTTCTCAAACAAAATATGCCTTCAGAAAATATGTTTAATGATTCATTTTGTAAAATGTTTTTAGCTACCATCTGGTATTTAAAAAAAAATGAAACTCCCTGAAACCAAACTACTTTTATAAGCAAAGTGAAACTTACTGACAAGAAGCATCAGTCAATTAGTCTCAGGAAAACCTGTTGCTGAAACTAATCGACTCATGCTTTTTGTTATGTTTATAAATATCATTTGTTTCAGGTATAGAGGTAAAGATCATAATGTGCCTTAAAATAACTTATAATACAAAAACTCACTAGGTTTCCAAAGGGAAATAGTTTACACAAGTAAAAAAAAATCTAAAATACTCTTTCAGTTTACATCCAGATTTCTTCTTGACTTGATGTGTATTTTATACCCTTAAAATGGCTGTTAAGATTAATATTTGTATTATTCTATTTCATATTAATAAACAAATTGCTGTATTTTTCAAATTGTTCTCTCTTTTAATGTTGTGAACTATATACAAAAAAAAAGAGTAAAATAAGATCACCTAATTTTCTTTGCCAATGTCTAATAAACTGTTGCGAATAGTACTTTTCTTGATAATAAAACTAACTTGAGTACAGGAATAAAGAAGTTGAAAACATTATATTAAAGTGATTTTATCATGTCCAAAGTACACTCCTCCTCTGTGCTGGCCTTCCATAATCCATCTAGTGTACAAGGACAATGGTTTCCCAGTCCCCATTTCAACAGTCTCATCACACAGAAAGCCATATCTGCTGCATCTGGCAGCTTGTATCTTTGTATGGAATAGCATGACTACCTAATTAATTGTCCAGCTGCTTCGGGTATGACTAGAAGCCTTATCTTCCTGAAGCTATACCATATTTTACTCATTTCCAGATCGACATCCCTTTTTGATTATGTTGCTTACTGTTTCCTGGGACATGTTAATGGCTTTAGTCACTGACCTTTGTGTTGATGGTTTCTCACCAATTACAAGATGCAGCATTCTGCTTCTCAAGGCTAGAGTATGACTTGTTACAAGTCATTCCGGATTGTCCTGGTGCCCCACGTTAAGCTATATTCCTTTGTTTTCTAATACAGTTGTGCAGATTTTTACTTAACAACAAACAAACTTAGAATATTAATATTTGTGATCAATTTAATGTAAGTTTGTTTGTTTGTTTTTTAATTACCCAAACAAGGCCCGGATAATTTTTCATGGCAGGTCCTTTGTTTTAGGTTCCAAACCCATACTGATCTCCTATTGAAACGACCTTCATTAATACGTGAAGTGTCGTCAAAAATCCAATATGGCTAAATAATTAAAAATACATAA